TATAGAGTAAGAAGGAGCTGCAAAACTGCTGGAGTTAACTGCATTAAAACAATATTTGTGAAGCCTTTACTTACAAAGCCAGCATGCAAGGCCATTTTGATAATTGCTGAGACTTCCTAACTGGCATTAACCGCTTTCAGTGCTGAAAGTGCTGCACAGTGGAGGGCTGGAAATCTATTGTGACATGTTGAGAAAGAAATAACACTTAGATTTGTTTGAATAGCGCCTCTGAACATTTGAGATTTTCCCATGGAAAAAAAAGCAAAGCTATGTTAGACGCTGGATGCTGCATAATTAACGAACAAGCACTGCAAACTTCTCTCAGTCTGCTCTGAAAATGACTCCTGGAAGAACGGGTGGCACAGGAACAGATGGAGAGAGGCCACTTGAACACAGCGTAATGAAGTGATCCACAGAAAATTCACTCATACTGCGTGCATTTCAAATGAACCCAGTGAGGGTGTTATGTCTCATTTATTTTGGTAACTCACACCTGATTTATTTTTTTACATATGTACAAACTGCATTGCTACTGATAGCATATTTCAGAGCTGTTTTCTACTTTCTGGTAAACACTAAAATATGTAATGCATACGGAAAACCAGATACCCTTTCTACTGGCATCATTAGAAACATGTTAAAGATGCACTTTTATGTAAGACTTGCAAAGAATTGTAATTCCCATCTGTTTACTAGACAGCTAACAAAAATCTTTCCACACAGAAAACCATCAATGCGCATCAAAACAAGCGATTCCAATTAAACATCTGCTTAAAGACCAACTGAGTGATTAGAACATGTGGTAAATATACCCTCCTCATCAGAGGCAATTTCAGACCTAAATTTTCACATTTGCTGATTTTGACCTCTGTCTGAAATTTTCAACAACATATTAAACATCCGATCTGGGAAAAAATGTTACAGTACTAGTGTTCTGGTACAATTTTAGTTAGCCGTAAGAGAGAAAAGACACTCACTTTGGGAGAAAGAAATCAGGTGCCCAGCTACAATAAATAAATCAAGAGACCAGGTGGTGCTGAATATTACAGAAAAATCACCACTCCTGGGGGGGGGGGCTTCATTAATAGTTTTTACACAAATCTGTGCTAGATAATCCTTGCCTGTCTTTTCCGTCACTCTGCCTTTCTGTTACAGACGAGGCTGGAGGGTGCCCTCTTTCAGTCTGACCCTCAATTACCCAGACCATCATTTCAGACAGGTGTTGAGGTACAGTAATAAAACCTCGCCTGACGCTACTGAGGCAGCCTCTCTTTTAAAGCACCTCAGAGAGCTTTGAAATGACTCAACTCTCTGTTGATCAGGTGATATGCTCACAATTGACTTGTGACTGCTGGCTGATAGTGTGCAATGAAACAGAAAAAAAAAAATCACAATGCCATTTATTACTCAGTTTGTGTGTGCGTGATTCTTCCTGGGCAACCGTTAATCTAAAATAAACAAATCATGTTCTGCTTACCATTCACACACAGAAAATCATAGTTATTGTTATAGTCATCATACTTTTTAATAGCTTCTATAAGACAGCATTTACAGTAAAGCGAGTAAGTGAAGTTGTCAGCAGAGGGATGGAGAGAAAATTATAGACTGAAGTTAAAGTCTAATCCCCAGCACTTTATATCCATGCTTATACTATACATTACTGCTTAACTGTGTTGCAAATGGAGTCTTTTCAGTCACAAGGATATGCCATCACCGCATCATAAACTTTGTAGTATGAATGTGCCGTGAAGTCTGTTGGGGATACACAGCCTGACTCCAGAGGTTTATCACAACTTTAAGCTTCCAGAATTTTTACATTTTTGGAGGAAATAAAAACAAAAGAGAACTCAAAATAAGCACCTTATGAGCTAACCACTATTTTCCTTGCAGGCCTATGTTTCAGACAATAAAAACCATACGCACATCGGGGGAGGGGGGGTGGGGGTTTATAGCTTGTTTGTGTACATGATCTCTGGAGTGCTTTCATTTATTTATTTATTTTTCCAGTATATGATTAATAACCCACGTGCAGTGATGTCCACATGAGATAAAGTTCCGTGTTACACGTTTCATAATTACTTCATAATGCATTCTCATAATGCATCTGCTATTTCCAACACATTGTGCACAGTGTTAATAACTTGTTCCTGATGTGTTCATTCATCCTTTGTGCTAAAATAATCTTCTCATCCAATTCCATCCATAGATCCTTCATCACACACTCTGGAGGAAAAAAAGCAGAGACTAGACTTCTTTGTTGTTGCATTGAGCATGTGCAGCATTGTGACAAAAAGAATCAGCAGATCCTTCAGGCTGAAACTGTTATCAAGCTAAATTAGCCCACTACATACTGCAGGGAGAGGTCACGCTAAACAGTTGAAGCATGCAGGAACGCCTTTTAAAATAGAAAATAAGCAGGTTCAGGGTCACTGCAGAGGTACAGCAACACTCAGTATGTATTTGGCAACTAGAATCTCGATTTGTGCATTACCTGTTACCTTTCTCTGAACTTACGTATGCTGTAAGTGCTCCATCTGTTTAAACGCAAATTAGAAGATTTATAAAAATGACTTGTTGCTTATGGCAATAACTACTAACCAAACAATAATAAATTCGGGTTTAACAGCAGGGTTGAGAAATACATCTGATAGCTATTCTTTTAACACACTGATTAAATTAGGTTTTGCAATCAAGTAAACAAAGCTATTCAGACTCCTCTGGCCCTGAAAACATTTTACATTAATAGCTCCATGAGTAAAAGTCTGCAAATCACACAGCAAACAGGTGGAGTAATTCAAGGATTAGAGGATTCATACAGCCTAGTTCCCTCCGGGCAGCATGCCAGTGGAGAAGCACAGTCCAGGTACTCATGAGGTGCACGATGCCATAACTGGCAGATCTGCAGAGAAGCTCATTGACAGATGAGCCAATGCTGTGCGTGCAGAGGTATACAGCCAGATTCAAAATGCAGGTGCTTTGACTTATCAGCACCAAGGAAAATTCAGGATTCAGATAAAACAGCAGCAAGGAGAATCTAACTATGCTTGAGCCAAATTTAGGATGGAAGATTTATTCAGTTTTATTCTTAAGCTTTTTATTGAGCACACGAGCAGCAAGTTTGAATTTACAGCTTTTAAAGTTGGACAAAGAATGAATTACAATAGCAATTCCACATACAGAGATAAGACTTGGAGTTTTTGATACAAGCATACTCATTTTGTAGTCATAAGAGTCAGAAAGAAGCAAGCACTGCAAATAATTATAGGGGGGCGAAAAGAGATCATATTCAACAAATCTCAGGGTGAAACTACACTTTCTCTGCTGTTCGGCAGCAATTACAGGGCAAATCGAGGTGTACACATTCTAAAAAGTTTTCTGAGTTCAAAACACTGTGCTTAATTGCTGAATAGTTTGGGGAAATGTATCATTTACAAGCTACATGAATGCTGAGTGTTTTCATTTCACAATAGATTGTTGGTGAGAGCAGAACATGCTGATTAAAGGTGCTAAAATGTCAAGTACAGAGGGCTCGGATTTTAGGTGCTGTCAGCAAACCAGCATGATTTCCACTGAAGTGCTTTCTATTCATCAAACACTCAACACTGCTGCTGATGACAAAGGCATTGAGGTTAATTTTGAGGTAATAATAAATGAAATGCTTTTGTGGTACATTTCTGTGCAGCAGGTGAACATTTGAGTTTATTTTGTTTGACATGGGCATTACAATAGCATTACAAAAGCACTACAATTAACATCAAAGTGCAGGCATCAAAAGCACTGGATTAGGGGTTCATACTGGAAAGCTATAGGTCTAAGAAGGTTTATCTCATTTTAAAATGAATCAGCTACTGGATTTAGGATACACAGCTTGGTCTTAGAGGATTCTTTGGTGCACGTCTGTTGCCTTTTCTGTCTCAAGTCTCTTTCATGCTACAGGCTCATTCCAAAGGATTGTTTAATTTTGTCTTAATATAACATGAAGCAAATTTTTTAACACCTGTCTGAGGAAAACCTTGGTGGAAATAAAGACAATTTCCAAACTATGAACAAACAATTATAGATTTATGGATGAAAGGAGAGTAATGGCAAGCTGTAAAGGCAAACTGAGTAAATGTTGGCTTTTGTTAAACTTCCCAGTGGGGGGCAATTCAGGGGCATGCGAAACATCTAGAGATTTCATATAATTGGAGTCGGTCTATTCATGTACTGTGTCTGCAAAAAGTAAGACCATTATCCCTCTTTGCATTTTTTTCTACCAGTGCAAAAATATTTCTTTTTCAATGTGCATTTATGACATAAATATGCAAAAATGGCAAAAGTGCACATGCTATGTGTTCTAATTATGTTAGCATATAAAAGTCCAGCCAAAACAGAGCAGGTGATACGTGCACTTTTTTCTATGTATAAAAAGCTTAATACACATTATTACGCATTATTTTTTCAGAAATATAACTTTTAGCTTTTATCCTAATTATTTTGCCTTCATAAGCTTACCTTTGGACACAGAGGCCTTTGGAGGTAAATGATAACAATGACATATTGGAGGTAAAATGCACTTTATGCTACTTACTATTGGACTAAACATAAAGTAAAGGTCAAGTTGAATTTTTGTAAGCTCTTGGTCGTAAACTAACAAGAAGTAGAATTAGATCTTGATTCCAAAACAGGAGTTAGATTGAATTGCATTTACTTTCCTAAGAGAGAAATAATTGCACCAGATATTGCTTCAACTAATCCATTAGCTTTAGAGAAGTTTATCATTAACTTGAGGTCATGAGGTAAAAGTCACTACTGTTGGCTATTGATTCATTCTCTGGAAATCTTGGCACAACATAAAAAAATTTAGTAGCAATTGCACTTAAATCTCTGAACCATTGTTCAGAGATTTATGATTGGATCTTTGTGGCTGTTAAGGTTAAAAAATAATAATAATATCTGGATCAAAATAATCTCTCTTCCCATTCTATCTTTTACCTAAAACTGTTTATTCTCTTTCACAGGTGGTGGGTCAAATCGATAAACTAACGTCTGACTTTGACTTTGACCTGGAGCCAGATGACTGGACCGTGGCCACAGCCAGCAGCACGTCCAGCAGTGAGCGGGGCTTGGGAGAGGCCTTCCGATTGGACTTCCTCAATGCAGATGTCCTTTCTGACAGCTGGGAGTTCTGCAGTTATCTGGAGGCTGCTGGTGCAGCCGCTCGCAGATCTTGCGGGCAACCAGGAGATCCACAGCAGGAGATGGGTCGTGGGACCAACCTCACCCAAACACAAACCCCCACCCCACCCCCCACCACTGCGTCTGTCTACTCTCAGATGAATGGCGGACTGCCCATTCCCAATGGGCCACGCATTATTACTCCAGATTCATCGAGCGAGGAGGCCAGCAGCTCCACGCACAGCCACAAGACTTCCCGTACCTCTGGCACAAGAGAAAGAGTCCGCTTCAGTGACAAAATTCTGTACCATGCATTGTGCTGTGACGATGATGAAGAGGAGGAGCAAGAGGAGTTACAAGAGGATAAGAGTGGCTATGCTACACCAGATAGCGATACTGAGCCCAGCCTCCTGGCCAGCTCAGTTGCCCCCAAACGTTCTTCCTCTGAGCACTCACTCCTCCATAACTGTCTGGACCCTTCATATGTCTCCTCACCTGTGAAGGGGACGACAGGAGCTCACACACTACCCAGGAAAGGTCTCTTAAACCCCGGCTGCCGCAAAAAACTGTTACGAAATAGCAGCACACAAACTGTCTCTGACAAGAGCACCCAAACTGTACTGCCCTATATTCCAACCAAACAGAAAACAAAGGACCACTGAGAAAGCCCGAAGTTTATCGTAAAATCTCATGAAGGACTGTGCATTATTTAATATTAAATACATAGCTCATAGATTAATACACAAATAAATTAATTACTAAATAAATAAATGATATATGGGAAATCACTTGACTACATAAAGTCATTCTGAGGCTCAGGGAAAACACGATGAATTGAAGTCAAACAGATCAAAAGGGTGAAAAGTTAGAGGCAGATCAAAAGGTTCTAATTTTAAAACACATACTGAGTGGACTCACCATGTTGGATTATTTCAAATGATTTCAAAGATTTAAAAAAAAATCATTTTTACCAGAACATTTAAGTGCTCAAAATCACAAGAATAAAAATATGAAAAGTTTATTTTCCACTCCTCACACCACACTATAACTTAAAAATTGCTATAATGTGGATACAGAAGGTTGCTCATTCTGTACTGAATCTGTATAAACACTGTCTTTTTTCATGTTCCAGGATTTTAAATGTTAATGAGATGGTTGCTTCCAGCAGGGATATGTATCTGGATGCACATGTCAAGCCTCTTCTTCTCACTGATGTCAACAAATGATTCTGAGTGAAGAGCCGGAGAACAACACTATTTATCTGCCCTTGATTTTATAAACACCAAATTCGGCGCTCTTCTCGATCTGCTGGAGAAGCTGCAACACATAACATAAAACTGACAGAAAGGGGGGGGGAAAAGAAAAGAAAAACAGATATATACATTGTCATTTCAGAAGGTGCGGTTTACAAAGGTGCCATTTTCAATTTTTTTCTTCCTACCGGTGACGTCATTAGGCTTAGGATTTGAGCTGAATAGCGGTCCACAAAAAAGTGCTAAAGGTTTTTGTCTCTTCATTCAGTTGCCCAGTGGGGAACTGAACTCAATAGAGCAGCATTTTATTCACAGGGCTGACGCCAATAAGCATTCCTGATCAATATGTTCGAGGGAGGTTGCAGTGAGAAGTCTCTCTGCTGAGCATGCATGCCACTCTCCTGGGATCTCTGAACAAAAACTCACAGTCAGATTTATTTACTTACACTAAGCGAAACAAAAATTAGAACTGTTGCCCTAAAGAACTGACATTTCAAAAACTGTGTGTCCAAGAGTGAGAGTTGATGGTGAAAAAACAGAGACCGTTAACGTTCAAAGATTTTCTTCTACAAAGCAATAATCTACCCTGGGGAACAGCTTTGTGAGTATGGTCCCTGACTTGGAGTTTCAAAAGAAAAAGTTAAATGTTGCAGTCTTTATAGGAAAACCTTCTTTGTCTCCCATGAAGCTGACCTTTTTGCCTCTGATGACCATAACCTTTCACGGTAGGAAGACTCTGCTTGCAGTATACTATTCTACCATACACTCTCTTATTCCACTTAATAAAAAAAACAAAACATGAAATATTGCAAAAAATATGAAGTAAATAAGCTTTGTATTCAAAGGATCACCCTAAAAGACTGACTTTATAAAGAATTATTCCACATTCCCAAGTTGGTGTTGTTTATTAGCATAAACAAACAAAGCTATACCACCACACAGGAAAGACATCAATTGCAGGAAAACAAACTAAGCCCTTATTTTGATGCCTATACACCTGCCAGATATTACAATGCATTTCCACTCTACAGGTTTTATAAGTCATATCTGCAATGAAATCACTTTTTCAAATATAGACCTGTTTGGCACAGGCATAGAATACATTATCATTGGGGACAGATTTTAGATTTTTGGGCAAAACATTAGCAACGTCTCTTTTGCCAACAGGCTCATTATTCATCTCTAATAGGACAGAGCTTTGTCCTCGGTTCTCTGTAGGACAAGGGTGGGAGGCATCCAAAGGTTATGAAAACCTGAGCACACTGATGCCAAATCATCTGCCTACCAGGAAGTTCATTTCATGATGCCACCAGACACAAAAACAGATGTGTGTTTGTGAATGTGTGTGTGCATGTGCGTCTCTGTCTGTATCTTCATTGCCTTTATGTCTACACACTCTCTGAGGAGATGCATGGTATTTTCTGAATTACACCTAACATACAATTTTATATTTCCCTGTCATAGCAATTAATGGGGATCAATACAAATAGACACAGCACATCCCTCTGGAAGTCATTTGGCCAGACTAGTCCATAAGACAAGATTAGACAAAATCTCCTTCAGAAGGCTGAAGTGAGTCATGCCATCTGTATTTTGACATTAGCAGTGGGCATGCATTAGTTCAAATCCCTGATCAATTTTCTAATGATAGCCAGCGGGACACTGTTGAATGACTGACAAATAATGTGGGGAACAAAAAGACTTTAAAAGGTCATTATGGCAGAAATATACATGGGCCACAGTTTCGTTACCCACCCTTCATATATAATTACTAGGGGTGCAACAATACTCGTATCGATATTGAACCGTTTGATACAGTGCTTTCGGTTCGGTACGCATATGTATCGAACAATACAAAAAATTTTATTTACTTTATCAACTTTTCTTCTGACGATGCTGCCTGTGTTGTCTGCGTTCGACTACTCCGCCTAGGCTGCACTGTCGAGTGCAGATCCACTGAGCACAGCGCAAGCTAGCAAGACAGAAGCTAAGCTCGTTGCAACATGGCTACTGCCTGAACGCTACCCGAAATTGAACCTCCCCCATCCTCGCGTTTGGAACTATCTTGGTTTTCATGACCCTGATGGTAAGCTCGTCATGGACAAAAGTAAAACAGTATGTCGGATGTGCCACGCAATGCTCAATTGGTGGGAACTAGTGCGTTAGCGCAGTTAGCTTGTTAACGTGTTGACGCCGTCCAGCCCCACGCACGGGGCGATCCGCGGTAACTCGTTAACGGTGATTTGCCGCGTTATGGCGTTAATGTCATTTTAACGAGATTAACGCTGTCAGCACTAGTGGGAACACAACGAATATGACTGCACATTTACTCCGACATCATCCTAGTGCAAAGACAAGTGGAAGCAGACAAAAACAACAAGCACGCATGGTACAAACTTTACCCGAGTCATTTAGACAGCCGTTAGCACATGATTCTCCTTATGGGGACCTGGTATGTTTAATATGCTGCTGAGAATATACCCCAGAAGAAGCGTATAGTATAGCTTTTATTTTGGAAAGAGACATTTCTCTGTAATAAACTCTCTTTTCCAAAGACCAGTGATTTCTCGATCAGATAGATTTTTTTTAATTATTTTTATTTTGTTGTTTAAGCAACATTAAATTTAAAAACTGTACTTTTGAGTTAAAATCTATATTTATAATTTTAATAAATGACAAATTAAAAAGGCATGAACATTTTTTTTGTATCGAAAAAATATCGAACCGTGACACCAAAGTATCGAACCGAACCGTGAATTTTGTGTATCGTTGCACCCCTAATAATTACCACACTTTACTCTCACTGGCCTTTGTCTCCATCAGTGAGCACAGGAAAACAGATGACAGATCTGTGTTTTCTCTGCTGATTGGTAAGGGTCCGTGAAGCGGAGAGCTCAATGCAGTCTCACTGATTACTATGGATTGGCTAACCACCGGGGCTACCTAAGGTTGATTTGTTTCATCTTTGTGCCATTGATATCCTGCCACTACAAGAGCAAACTATTTCTATTGTATCTCCCTCTTTTTTTTTTCTTTACCTGCAATCTCCTTCCATTGCACACACCATTTTCTATTTGTAGCAATTGTGGATTTTAGTCACATCAAGCATCTTCTAGTGATTGACAAAGAGATGGGATGATAATTTTGCATCTCAGTTTCTGGTCAAACTAGTAGAAAGTTTTTTTGATTGAGTGAGTAGAGGATTATGGTCTCCAACCAATATCTAAAACACTTGGATATCAAAGTCAGGCTAAGAACACAACGCTCCTGATGAACAGTTTGCACATAGTTACATGGCTCAGTTTTCTACATATATAGGGGATTGCTGCTCTTATGCACACAGAAGTACCAGTAGCAATAGGCTGCAGGATCTATAGTGCCATGGTCAACAAAAAACCAATACCACCATCTGAAGTATGGCCAAACAAAGCCATGTTAACCATCAAGTACCATCTGATTGGAATCAGGGAATGATTAATGAATAGCCATTCAGGAGTAATAGATAAGATACACCTTCACAGGTGATGAAGGACAGGGCCTGTGGCCATGAGGGAGGATCTGGGTGATTCTTGGTACGAAACAGTTCCTTCAGATGACTTGGCACACTGTAATTAAAGTTAATGAGAGTCACTTTTGCATACACCATGCCATTATGATTTATCAGGATGATATATATGTAATAAAAAACAATGGAAGGTCAAAGGAGCCCAATTATTATTCTAGGTCAAAGAGACGATAACTATATGGCCTTGATCAAGTAAAGATATCCAATAAATTTTAGAGTTTGTACTAGACTATGGGTAGGAAACACTATATTAATGTGCACCCTAGAAACAAACTTGACAGGAAATCAAATTACTTTTTGCCACTATCACTCTTAATTTTCGGTGGCAAATTGTCCTTTTATCATCTGCGATATGAAAAAAAAAGTAAAATTACTTGTCTAATGCCACAGTCGTTTTTACACGATGGAGTTACAACATTGCGTCAGTTAACTAAGGTTTGTGGGCATTTGTTTACAGTATGTACCGGTCCCTTTAGATCCCACCACGGCATTTCAATTTGGTTGAGGTCTGGACTTTTAATGGGCCACTGCAACACCTTGATTCTCTTATTTTTTTTAACCAATCTGTTGTAGATTTTGTGCTGTGCTCATCTTCCTGTTGCACGATCCAATTTGACTAAGTTGTAGTTGTGGGACAGATGGCCTCATGTTTCATTCTAGAATACTTTGCTATACAGAGGAGTTCATGGTCAACCCACTGATTGCAAGGCGCCCAAGGCCCTGTGGCTGAAAAACAAGCCCAAAAGATCATCTCCCCTCCACCTACTGACAGTTGAAATGAGGTATGTTTGCCAATCTGTTGTGGTTTGGTTTTTGAAAGGGAGGTGCAGCCAAACATCTCTTGCACGTCCACAGGACATTTTGTTCTCACCACCATGGGTATGTTAGCAAATCTGAATTGTTGGAACCAATAGCCTGTGGAATTTCCATACAATTTGCTAACTATCCGCATGCTGGCCTTACCCAATTTCTCTATATAAGGAAATGCATACATGCATACCTCC